TTTGTACGATATTCATAGCCACCTATGGCAATTAGAGACAATGTGGAAGTCTCCTCCAGCAGAAGTGTTATTTCTTGCTTCAAAATGGGCAAGAACTGTTCAGATTTGAAAGATAAAATCTACAATTAGGGTATCAGTTTTAGCTAGTGCAGATAGTCTCATAGGCACACCTAGTGCGTCAAAGAAAAACACAGATCTAAGCAGAAATAATATTGGTAAAGTTACTGCAAAGAGCCTGGGCAAACTCAAAGAGCATGAGGTATGTTCATGCTGGATGAAGGCTGCAGCACAGTGGCCATAAATCTAACCAGAGGATGGTAAGGAAACCATCCCTTGATGCCTATCACATGTTTGGGCATACTTTTTGTAGCTGCCAAGGTGAAGGAGAATTCATACTGCAGTACAGCTTCCCTGCTTATATTCAGCCCTGTGTACAACTGAAGTGATGGAATAATTATCAGAATTATAAAGTGGATAAAGCTGAATGTTACACATGCCGTGTGAAAAGAACTTAATGAGGTTGTAAAAGCACTCAGAAGTAACAAAATGGTTGCCCATGTATCTTTAATTCAGATTTCTTATGCAGATACATTTTCAGGCAACCAAGGTTTGGTCAACAGCATCCCCCAATCTCTAGAGTCCTTTTATATAATGTGTAGATTGAGGGTGTTCAATTTTAAAGCATTTACTTGACATTTTGTACATTCCTTGTTATTTATCATGTAAGGCCCCCTATTTTATTTATCATATGCCATTTGAACATTTTTCTAAAGAAAAAGGGGCTCTTTTAAGGTGCTTTTAGTGTAGTATCTGAGTATCAACAGTTATCAGCAACTGTTTTCAAACTCATCTGTGCATTTATTGTGTCCATTTTACAGATGGAAAGCTGAGGTATGGCAAAAGTAAGGCCAAAAATAGCTGCTGGTTTTTGACATGCAGTCCGAGTTGCTGGTAACCTAAATTTTAAGATACCCCTGCAGCAAACTGTAGGTTCAAAGCACACCTTTGCAAGTCAGATGCTAAGCTCTAAAGATAATTAGGAGCTCTTTATTGGTGTCTAGCTTATTAAAAATGTTGGTTAAAGCAGTCACCTAATATCTTGCAGGTTGCAAGGAATCTGGTACACCAGGGGCTTCAGTCATGCTTCATATAGTCCCTTTTGTTACAGAAGTCTTTCAAGTTCTCTGAAAAATGACAGGTCAGCTTGCTTTAATGCAAAATACAGATTCATCCCTAGAGCAGACCTCTTATAAGCACTAAATTTATGAAGCATTTCTAGAGAAAAAATAGTATGGGCCTGTGTTATCAAAAAGTGTGTTGTTGCATACGTTCACAATGAGAGTAGTGATTGCTCTCCATTTGCTGATTTAAACACAGAACTAGGCAACACGTAGCAGGCTTTGTTGAGCTGCTTGGGTAGGCAGGAACCTTTGGCCAGTTAGTTGAAAAAAAATTTCTGTCAGGCGTTTTCAAACGATGACTTTGAAGAGATGTATAAATTTTCCAGAATTGAGAGGATTTCTCTTAGAAACAGCAAAATGCATATCCTTAATATAAATGGCTTGCTGAATTGCAAAGTTCTTCCCCAGTTCCTCGAGGGATCCAGGGGTTTCTCAAAGAAAAAGTTGATTCAGTCTCTCAGATAGCTGAACTGCATTTTCTGTCATTTTCTTTTAAAGAAATTGACCTGAAGCTGACACCCAACAAGAAAAAAACCCAAACAAGAGATTTTTGCCAGTTCTAAATATTTTTTGTTTATACTTACTGTGGTTTTAAAAAGGGAAGTGGTGTCAGGCATTAATAAGCAACAGTACTACCTGACCTGTCATAAACTCTGTAGAATGCATGAAAAAGAGAGAAGTAAATGAAAGATGAAATGAAAAATTAATCTTAGCCAGTGTATTAAAAGCCTGCATAAAGTTCCTTAGGTAGTTTGACAGTGAAGATTGTTTTGATGAGGGGTAGGAGGAACAAGAACAAAAATTACAGTGAGAATTTGCTGCAGACTCCCAAGAATGGGTTTTAAATCTCAAGATGATGCACATGTAATTTTACCAGATTGTCATACATTTGCTAGTTTAAAGGACAAAATTAGTATGAATCATCAAGAATCTTTTCCAGGCATCTTCATTATCCAAAAGTTATATTAACTCATCTAATAGCAACTATACTCTGTAGATGTGGAGAAAGAGGACTGAAAAATTAGAAATAGTAAGTATTGAAAGATAAACGATTTAGCTGCATGAACAAGTTAAAATAACTGAACAATGCACTAAAATAAGCACAGAACAACGACCTTCACTGCCAAAAGGGTGGCTGATACAGTCTCTTTTGCTGGATTTTTTCCCTTTTTACTGCATATTCTCAAAAGTTTGATACAAAACATTCTTTCAAGTAGGAATCAGTTTCTTTAATATTCCTTAGAAAAATGCCACAAAGGAAAGAAAGGTTTTGGATTTTTTTTGTTTTTAAAAATACTGAATAGTAGCAGAAATTTGGGGATATGAAAGCCCCCAAATATAGAAAACATTTTGAGCACCTATCATAAGAGAAAAAAAGTCCAGACAAATATAGTGATGTCTCTGAAAGGTCAGTAGTGGAGGTGTCAAAATAATCTTCCAAGATACATCTTACAAGACAGCCATGAGTGTTCCCAGAACCCGCTAATAATCCACTGGTGAGTGAGGTGTGATGAGTGTGAAACACCACAGAGAAGCCATAAGGGAAAGGAAACATGATCATAGTCATTTTTGCCTGGAAATTTCAACTGTAGAGAACATGTTTATATTTTGTGAATCAGCTGAACTATTTCAGAATTTGGAAAATGTGAAACTTCTTACAGAGAAAAATGAGCATGAAATGAAGTACCAAAAATTAAAATAGAACAAAATAACAAACAAACATGGAGAAACAGAATTAAACATTGATCTTCATCCCTAGGGTCTTAGAGTAGACTCAGAGAACTGATGGTCATGAATGTCATACATTAAAAGTTCATGTTGTTTGTGAAATTAATCTATATATCTCATTTTGAATCTGGCTTATGATTTTTTCCCTTTTTAAAATTATCTTTTATTGAGGGCATATTGTCTTTTCTAAAGCCTAACACATTTAATACTATTTATGTTTTTATCCATCTTTAAGGTTCTCAGTCAGTGTTATACAAGGTATATTCCCATGTGGTACACAGTATTTGAATAATAGCTTTTAGCATCAATTTCATATCACATTAGACAGTGAAAAATACAGAAAGTATAAATGACTGGTGCTTCAGAGATGGTTCTTAGATGAATGTGGGCAGCCTATAAGGCATGTTGTTATAATTGCTTAGATATGAAATTTTATTATTAAATCACTCATGTGTAGATTACTTGAAAATGTAGCAGAGGACATATTTATTTGTAGTCATTGTACCCAACAGTGGAAAGTGCAGAATGGTAATAAATTCTTGCCCTCTGAAATATGTTTATCTTGTCGCTGAGCTGGCTTACTAATGTGGTTTTCTACCTTTTGCAAAATGAATGTAACGCTTGATGAAGTTGCTATGATACAAGACTAGTGCACTGAACTTTATGGTGCATCAGCACACATTTTATACTATGCAGGTCACTGTCACTGCTGTTAAAACTTTCTAAAGCCTTCCATGAAGGAGTTGACAAGTGAATTTAACCTTTCAAAAAACTAAATGCAAAATAAAGATTCACAGATATTTTCCTTGTTTGCTCTGAATGACTAGTAGCCATAGTACTGTAGGACTGAATTTTAGATTTTTTGTAAAAGACAGTTCATGACAGGCTACAGCAAAACAAAGGTATGTACTCTCTTGTGTTTTGAGCTTTACCAGCACACATAAACATGTCACCTAGCTTTGTCTCTCCAGAAGTTATGTGTTTAGAACAGCCTTCATTAACCCTCTCCTCTCTAGAAGAGGGAAAGACAGAAAGAGGCACCTTCAGTGGACAGTTCAACCCACAAACCTGAGACATTTTAAGACAGGATGAATTACCTTCTAGAGGAGCCTGCTTCTTTGTACTGGTTAGAGAGGGCACTTGGGTAGATAGCTTAAATGAGATACCTAACTTTTTATAGCTAAAACTATAGGAGATGAATCCCACTGCAAGTGATAAAGTTAATATTTTTCAAACTCTGCATCACGGGAATAATCCAAAACAAGATTAACAGGTAGAGATGCAGAAAAACAGAGTATACTGCTGTATATGGCAATAAGCTAAGAGTCATAATGTAACACCACAGAGAAGCAATTGTGTAGAGAAAGGTCTGAGAAACACAGATCAACCTCTCTTCCATACAAAAGCAAGACTTTTGTGAGAGTAGGTAAATGATATTTTTATAAGAGTAGACTTTCTCACATTTGCATTCTCTGTCTAAATCTCCCAAAACAGAAGAGTTGACAGCCTGTGTTTCTTGAGAGATGTATAATGTGTCCTCTGTCAACTCTGGTGACTGTATTGTCATGGAATCCTATTTTGATGACATTGCAGCCACAAAGGCCGAAGACAAGAAAATAAAACTTCTGGAAATACTGGCTTTCTGCTAACAGTTGATTAGACTGCAGAAGAGATAATCCTTTTATTTTTCTGTAGTCTGGAAATCCATCAGGTGTTCTCCAAGCTATTAATAATGATTTGGCTAGCAATACCAGGTAGGTTTAATGGATTTCCCTGACAGTGTACTGAATGTGATTGCAATGAAGCATGAAACAACCTGTTTTAATGACTTGCACTAGTGCTTGCTTAGACCTGATGTTAATTTTTAAAAATGCACCTGGGTCTTTCATTAATGGAACAAGCAACCACTTGACAGTGTGTGAATAATTGATTAAAATGTCTAAAAACTCATATTCATTGTACATCAGGAAATAATACTGAAAATTTTCTGGTAAATCTCTTGAAGAATAAGTAATTGCATCTATTGATTTTGAGATGCTTTCTGCCTATTGACGCTCAGTATGTAAAGTATATCTGCTCCTTTCTCTACAGCTGGGATGACAGCAGCTCAGTTAGTAGTGGCCTCAGTGACACTCTTGACAACCTCAGCACGGATGATTTGAATACCACCTCATCTGTCAGCTCTTATTCCAATATAACTGCCTCTTCAAGGAAGAACACTCATGCCCAGGTGTGTACCTTTTCACTGCCATTTCTTGCAACACCCCACAAGTGTGCAGGAGAACAAAGAAAAATGTTTAGTATCAATGAATATAAAAATATTCCTATTTTACAAAGACCTCTGTCACACTTGTGTGTAAAAAGCCCATGGACCCCACGGACCCAACCCTGACCTGTGAACTGATGTCTCAGATGCCCTGCTCCCAGGGCACATCCCACTGCTGAAGGTGCCAGCTGGTGAGACCCTGCTCTGCCCACCCTAGTGGAGCACCGACTGGTCTCAGCCCCAGGAAGCCCCTGCTGCACCCTAACATAAAAGATCACAGTATGACTGAATCTGTGATGGGTGGATCTCTACTCACTCCATCCCATTTGGAATATCTCTTTCAACAGATAGCACAATTTAAAATAAGATAGTTTTTGTCTTTCATGAGATGACAGTTATCATGGAAGAGATACATAGGCTGTGTGGTCCTTTACCTGCTCTCTCCAGTGGAAGAAAGAGGCTGAAAGAAGAAACTCACAGGTGGCAGAGCTTATCTTCTCCCCAGTTAGGTCCAGGAATGAAAGTGTCCAATAGGCCCACAAGTTGACAATGCATAGTGTCAGAGTTCAGAGCAGCATACAGTCACAAGCTATATACATATGTATATATAAAGACCTTGTGCTTTATATATACCCCAGTATTTCTTCCCAGCTCCCCTCAAAATTGCAGGTGATGAAAAAGACAATACAGATTGCTTGCAGGACTCAGTCCCTCCCCAGAAAAGAAAGAAAGAAAAACAGAAGAGTTAGTCCCAATAGAAAAGTGTTTTCTGCCTTGTCATCTCCTGTTTACAAGCTGGGAACTTCAAGACTCAGCATAAGGGAAGAGTGGTTGCCTCCTATGATTTGATGTCAAGTATTCTGGACAGAAGACTGACACTCCCAATTCCATTTAGACTCCTGCAGGCAGCCTGTGCCTGCAATTATGAGATCTGTTTTGTAGATATATATTGTGGCAGACTTTATCAACAGGAGAAAAACACATTTTTGTCATTTCCTTCAGACAATAGGGAAATAAAGTTGCTTTGGGAATGAAGATTAACCTACAGCAAGATAGATTTCAGACTGGCGACATACACATGCAGAGATACTCACACAGATGCCAGCATTCTTGAGCCCTTTACCATTGCCTTTCCCGGCTCATCAGGATCTCCCATGGTTGCTAACTGGAGATCAGCTTCTCCCCTTTCACACCAACAGTGATGGCCAGCTGGTCCTGGCTTACTTGTTCCACTACATCATCATCATCATGACTGGGAAATCTCAGGCTGACTATTTAACTCTTTGTGGGTTTTTCATTCAAGTGATCTCATGTTCTAGCTGCTCAGCCAGATATTATTTGCAATTTGCTCAGTGATAGACAGAGATGCAGCACATGTTCGAATGTTGCTTTCCTGCCAGAGTTGCTTTATGTTATGAAGGCTAGGAACCTTTATCAGGTCTGCCTTTACCAGATTGATCAGGATGCACTGTACTCCATGCTAGTCTGCAATCTCTGTCAGGAGCTGAGATGAGCAAAATACATAATTTGCGAGCTATTCTCAGGGTGTAAGACATACTTGTGCAACACAGAGGTCCTTTTTGCAATCTTTTAAAGTGATCAGAGCAGTGTAAGCAGCCTATGGCCTGAGACAGAAATTGCATTTTTTGTTGTTTTCTTATTAAAAGAGGATTAACATTGCTTATCAGATCCCATAATGGTGAAGAGAGGCTTCGAGAAAGTATTACACTTGTCATTTCTTGGAAATGATGCAGTTTGCTTTAAAAATGTATAACTATGCATTTATGACCATTATTTTATGAGAAAATTCTGGGAGCATTGCACATGTTGTAACAATAACAATAATGAAAACTCTCATCTGAAGGACCCTGCAATATGTGTGTAGATGTTTGCTTGGGCTCTTTTCCCATCAATCCTTACCCAAAAATCTGTGCTAGCATCTCCAAAGCATATATAAAATTACAGAAGTACAGAGAGCTTTTGCATTTTATATGCCTCAAATGACAAATATGTAAACAGCAACTGATTATTCTGCTGGTCATCTAGTCAGTATTAATCCTACTTATAACAGTAGTGCCTAGGAAACAGCCGCAGACAGGTCTCTGTGGAGAAAGAGTTGTGACAACACAGAATAATAAATAGCCCTCCCCTGAATGCAACCAAGTTTGCAGTCCCACTTAGGTTGGCTGTATGAGGGTAAAGCTGTGGTGATACCTGAGAGCAGCACCACTTTTTTGCTGTTAAAGAGGTACAGCGGTAAGCAGGACTGGTGAGATGATGATGTGCAAATAAGGCTTGAGGCTGAGGTCAGGAGGCTGCAGGAAAACACAGGAAGGGTTACAACAAAGAGCCTGTCAGCACAAAGAATGCAAGTCTTGTCAAACACAGAGGGTAGAGTCAGCCTCTCCAGGGTTTCTGTTTAAGCCACTTTCACAGCTTCTACACTGTCTGTCTTGTGGGGCTGCTCCTTGCAGCATACCCTTACTAGCGCACCCCAGGGAAAGCAGATGCCATAGGGGTGCTAGGTCCTCACTGGGACATCTTCCACATGGGTATGAGTTGCAGAGCAAGTGTGGCCCCAGCTGGTTACCTTGACCCTGCTGGTGGGTAGTACTTGTGTAAGACTCTTTTCTAGCTGCTCTGCTAGCTCATATAGCTAGAGTGATTTGCTTGTTGGAAAATATTAATTTCACTGGAGACAAACCAGTAGAAAGGACATCAGCTGTGGCACTGATAATTTTGCTAAAGATGTTATCCTTGCTCACTGGTGGCACAACATACTCAGAGCTGCTGGAGCAATATTCCTAATTAGGTGAGTGGAAGTCTTGGGTAAGAAAAGGCAAGAAACGACCGAGATTATTTTAGTAGTACATTTAGGAATTTCCTCATTCAAGCTTTTAACAAAACCTCTCAGCACAGTGATTCATTTGTGAAATTCAAATGGAGCTGAGGAAAAACAGAGTATCACCACTGATTATTAGAATAAATTGTACTTTTTTTTCATTATGATTTATCTATGAAGGAAAAAATTGAAATAAAAAAAAAAAAAAGAAAAATGTCTTCCCCAAATGGGAATGTTCTTAAACTTCTGAAATCAGGATATTAATGTTTTAGAAGGGATGATTCCATGGCCCTTGCTACATATAAATAAGTATGCTTATCCTCCTCCCCTCCTGTGAATTAAGAAATCAGCAAATGCTGAAGATGTTGAGACTGACCATTTCTCATGCAAATCTCTTGTAGCTAAAGACAGACTCAGAGAAGCGCTCAGTTACAGACAGTGAAACTTGGGGCAGCACTGAAGAACTGAAGAAACCAGAGGAAGATTTTGACAGCAGTGTAGACAGCAGTGGCAAGTGGAAAGGCCTTCCCTCAGGGCTGTCTGAAGAGTCCGAGAAAGGGGGGCAGAAAGCATCTCTCTCTGTTTCACAGACTGGATCCTGGAGGAGAGGCATGACTGCACAAGTAGGAACAACTCAGTCCAGGCACAAAGCAGGAACAAGTGCACTCAAGACTCCAGGTAAGAAACTTCTGTAATTCAGGTTACGGCATTGCAAATTAAGGCTTTATACTTAGAATTTATCTATAAACAGTAAGGGATACTTAGTGGGCTAAAAATAATTAATAGATATTATAAATGTGTGACAGACATTAGGAACTGTAAACATATTGGTAGTTCTCATAAATGACTGCAAGTCAAGACTGTAATAATATACTAACTTGTTCATCTCTGTAACTGTTACTTTGTTTCACTGCACACTAATAATTTATTAATCGCACATAAATGTATCAATAATAAAAACCCGTGATTGATTTTTGTTTTACTATAATTTGACTATGTCAACTTCTATTATGGAATTCTAAAAAGCATTTTTGGAGTCATCTATGACTTATCTTTATTCTCTAGAAAATCTGTACCTTTGATAATTGTACATTTGCACAGAAATGGCCAAAGATTAGAAGCTGAGATTTAAAAAAATAACATTCAAGTGAAGGGACTCAAAATAAGTGCTTCTGAACTAAAGCTGAATTGTCACATTCCAGATACTGTGAGTATTCTATAGAACACTGTTAAGAAATAAAAAAATTGAAAAAAACACCTTTTTACAGACTCTCTTCAGTGCTACAAGACTTCTTACCTAATTTTGAAGGTCCTCTCAGTAGTAGTAAGAGCTTCAGCAATCTAGTTTTGAAGCAAAAAATCCAAACTTGGTGGAAGATATCATTATTAAGACCATCTAATCCATCATTTTACTAGGAAAGTATTGATTCTAGACATTTTCTAGACTTTTGTCATGTCCTAAGAAAATAGTGCATGGGCATGCTTTAACTCCCAGTTGTAAAGGCAACTAACAAAGATCTCCTCAGAATAAATTCAAATCCTTTGCAAGCCTGTTTTGTTTCTTTGCAATTTGGAACTGCTAAACATTGGACCGCCTGTCTATAAGATTCCTGAGGAGCATTGCCATGGTCAGTGGTCACATGGATGCAGAAATGATACCCCTGTAATACCAATTGAAAGAGTTACTAAAAGGTTAACTATATGCCAAGCTGTTTCTCAGGTATGTTTTCTTGAAGATGAACAGGCAGCCACTACGCAACACAGAATGGAGGTCTTAATTTTTTAGGCATATACTAATAGTCTAGGTGTTTGTCATGTAAGAGTCTGATCCATATCTGGATGTGTGCTTGTGTTTACATAACTGCTTTGCTGATTAAGGATGCCAGTTAAACTCGGACACCAGAGTGAAAAGAGTAGGTGTATTTTACTGGTGATAACCAAATAATGTAACAGTAATACAGAAAAATGCAGTAAGAAAAGACAGAATAATGCACTTAAAGCAAACAAATAGGAAAATACAGGGTAATGCATCAAATCATTACTACGTGAGAGAGAGAATAGTGATTAAGAAAGATCCATCACCACTTGCATCCAGACCCGCAGTGGCTGGGCAGCCCCGGTCACAGCGAGGGTTTGCAGAGCCTGTCCCAGCAAGTGGGAAATCCTACGCGGTGCGTCCACCCATAGGTGAGGCTGCCAAAGTCGCTGTGAGCAGGTCCAGCCTTGTATACCCAAAAATCAGCAAGCCAGAAGATCTGGTACCTTTGTTTTGAGCGGAAACATCAGGTTTCATCCTCCTGTTGGATTCCACCCAAAGCCTGGCCAGGGCTCAGCGGGGGTAAACCAAGGGAGTTTCTAACAAGGCCAGATACTTGGGTTCTCAGCCTTGAACAAGGCTAAACAAGGGAAGTTGGATACATTCTCTCAGCATTTCATCCTCACTACTGATTATATTCTAGGCTGCATCTTTCACTAGTGACCTGACATACTTTGTTAATGATTACATACTAAGTTAGCAGCTTCAGCTCAGGGCCTGTTGTTCAGGCTTCAATACTTCAGCACTTTAGCATTTTTCACATCAGCATAGGTGGTTTGTTATAAACTAGTACAATACCTACTAGCACAATGTTTATCAATTATAAAATATACAGGATTCATCTACAGGTCAACTCTGGCTTAGGCCTATTGTCTAAGCCTTAGCACCTCAATAACATAAAATGTGCACTGGATAAAAACATGAGTGAATTTAGTTCTGACCTATAGGTGTTGCTCTTTATTACAGTTAAGTTCCGTAAAAAAATTAGGCCAGCCAACCTCCAAAACTTCCATAATCACTTGAAGAGTGAATTCAAAACTTTGCTATGCTGAATATTTGTTCCTTATTAGGAGCAAAGAATAGATGCTTAAAGAGAAATTAAAATCGAAGAGAAATGGCGTTTTTTGTCTGTTTGTAATATAGGAATAGGGTATTTTCTTTTAAGATAGAAGAGAATATCTTATTTAAACTTTCCTGAATGTCATAATAACATTACGTAGAAATATATGGTATATAGGTATGTGTCTCTGCAGTGCTGAAGACAGCCTCTCATAAAATCAAAATCTTGAGAAGATATGAAGGATGTAGCAAAGACTATTAACTCATGTAATTGATATTGTTATAGATCAAGAAGTTTCATACCATGATAACATAATCACTGATAATTTTGTGTAACTAAAACCAGAACAAGCTTAGTTATAAGCTAAAAAATGTAATCCAGAAAAAACAAAGAACTCAGTAAGTACCACTAATTTCTACATGCCTAGTTAATGTCATACTTCTGGAAATGTTAATTACATGTGATGTTTTATTTTGAAATATTTTTTCTTACACATAGAAATACCATTAATGGGGAAAAAAAAGCGCCAAATAAAATTCCGTATGTTTCATTCAGAATAATTTTCTACATCTATGTTCTCCACCTATATGTGAAAGGGGAGGTTCTAAGGGGATTTAAAGCTTTTTATACTTAATGCTTACCTGTAATGTATTGTACCTGCTACTGACTGCTGATAGGGGACTAAAGACCAAATTGGTCTGTTTTCTGAGGGTAATTTTTCTATTTGTGTGGTTTTTAATTTGAAATTGTAACATATTAGATATTGAGACATCACAGCTTAAACACAAGCGACCTTTTCAAATATACTTTTATTTAGGAAAAACAGATGATGCAAAAGCCTCAGAAAAAGTGAAAACTCCCCTAAAAGGAGCCTCCATTCAGCGCTCTCCATCAGATGCAGGAAAAAGCAGCGGTGATGAAGGAAAAAAGCCTCCCTCTGGCATTGGTAGATCAACTGCTACGGGGTCCTTTGGTTTCAAGAAGTCTGGGATGGGATCTTCTACCATAATCACCACAAGTGGAGCGACCATCACAAGTGGATCAGCGACTCTAGGAAAAATTCCAAAATCTTCAGCCATTGGCGGGAAGTCCAATGCAGGACGGAAAACAAGCTTAGATGGTTCCCAGAACCAGGATGATGGTGTCCTGCATGTGAACTCGAAGACAACCCTGCAGTATCGAAGTTTGCCTCGCCCATCAAAATCCAGCGGCAGCGGGATCCCTGGCAGAGGTGGCCACCGCTCCAGCACCAGCAGCATCGACTCAAACGTCAGCAGCAAGTCTGCAGGTGCTGCTGCCACCAAACTGCGAGAGCCAAGCAAGATTGGGTCTGGGCGGTCCAGCCCTGTCACTATTAACCAGACGGACAAGGAAAAAGAGAAAGTGGCCGTGTCTGACTCCGAGAGCGTCTCATTGTCCAGTTCCCCCAAATCCAGCCCAACTTCAGCAAGCGCCTCTGGCACACCTGGACTTAGACAGCCGGGATCCAAATACCCAGATATCGCCTCCCCCACCTTTCGAAGGTTAGTGGTCTTCTACAAATTCCTGAAGTTGCAGTATATAAATCAGGGATTTTCAATGTGTTGAAGTACTGGTCAAAAAGCCTTTTCAGGGCATATGTTGCCACAAACAGAGAACCAAGTAAAAAAAAAAAAAAAAAAAAAAAAAAAAAAAAAAAGAGTAATATTTTTTCATACAATATAATTATTTCTCTAAGATCTAAATACCTTCCCAGACCTGAAATGGCTGTTCCTTGAGCTTTGAGAGTTTTAAGTACAGTCCCATAACAGTTCAAAAGCCAGAAGTTAGACTCACTGATTCTTATGGGTCCCTTCCAAACCGAACTTGAGATATTCTATGGTTCTAAGTTCAGGCACATGAGAAGTTCCCTCTCAATACTCTGATAAACACCCAAAGGGAAGAAGGACACCTCCTCATTCAGGCACATTCTGTTACTGTAACAGGCGATGTCATAGCCTGGTGGGAGAACTGAAGAGGTCTATAGGGTAATAATGAAGTATTTACTTCAAAATTGTTGGCAGCTCCAGTACAAATGTTTCATTATCTTAGCAGCTTTGTTACGTCTTTCGTCACAAACATTAACAAAGCTAAATTTGAATTGGAAATACCCTATTGTAACGTTTTTTGGAAGTATAAATTGGGATGGAGCACTTGCACTGTTGGAGAAAAAGCCAATAGTGCCCTCTTGTGCTTAGTAACCAAAACAGCACCTCCAGGCTGCTGGGGAGCTGCAGCTGATTTTTCTGGGCTTGGTAATATGTAAAAGGGATTCTTATGTTATTAGCCATGCTTACTTTATATCACAGTAAGTTTTACATTTATTTCTTATTCATTTATGAGCTGCACCTTAACTGCAGCTTCAAATATTTCCAGTAAGATATTGAGTCATCACATGCCCTTTTATTTCAAAAGTTTTAGAGGATTTGGGGTTCATTTTTTCATCATCACTGTAGAATTTTCTTCTCTAGAATTGCTGGAAGCAATTATGTGAAATACACCTCTGTCATGACTGCTCTTGGAGACAAACCGAGCCTATTTAGCTCTGGTGCAGTTTATTCTGTCTGAATGGCTACCACATGACCAACAACCACATGACCATCTGTGCAAAAGAACAACAAAAGGGAAATTTCACACAAATACTAAGATGTTTATTAAACTATGAGGGATTTTGCAAGTCGTTTTAGTGGATTTCAGAAGCGAGGGGTTTTAAAGCTAATGACTTAGCCATGGGAACACTTAATTACTGAATTTGGTTGAAAGTATAACCTGTTTATGCACTAATAAGACAAAAATGTGATTATTTTACCTCTCTCTGGGAGGGCCTGTATGTGCAAAGAGCACATCTGAACAAGAGTGAATGAGATCTGTTGCTAATGAAACAAACCCTGATAATTGTGATATGGTTAAGTGAATTTAATTTTGCGATGGGATTGATCAGCTAGGTAGGCATGATTTTAGTAGCAGTAATTAAAAATGTGTAGTTTGGCTCTTAGGATGTTACGCCATGAATGTTTAATGTGGCTATCAGTTTCTCTAAAGCTATTTGTTTTACATTTAGGTTGTTTGGTGCCAAGGCAAGTGGTAAAGCTGCCTCTGCACCCAGTACTGAAGGTGTGAAACCCACATCGGCCATGCCCAGCCCTAGTACCACCTTGGCACGGCAAGGCAGCCTGGAATCGCCATCCTCGGGCACAGGCAGCATGGGCAGTGCAGGTGGGCAAAGTGGTAGCAGCAGCCCCCTCTTCAGTAAACCTTCGGACTTAAATGCAGATGTTGTAAGCTTAAGTCACTCCTTGGCTTCCAGTCCCGCCTCAGTGCACTCTTTCACATCAGGTGGTCTTGTGTGGGCTGCAAACCTGAGCAGCTCTTCAGCGGGCAGTAAAGACACACCAAGTTACCAGTCCATGACTAGCCTTCACACCAGTTCCGAGTCTATTGACCTTCCTCTTAGCCATCATGGCTCTCTCTCTGGACTGACAACAAGCACTCAGGAGGTTCAGAGCCTGCTCATGAGGACTGGAAGCGTCAGATCTACTCTTTCGGAAAGGTGAGCTTGCCTATAGATACAGTGACCACGAAATAAGTGAGAGGCAAAAGGACAGGAGCCAAAAAAACCAACCCTCCACCTGTTTTCCTAAAGGGACAATTGAATTAGCAGCTTAGTCCTTTATGTACAAAAGCAAGGAAGGAAGAAAAGAAAGCTGAAAGGCATTGGATGTGGAATCAACTGCCTTTTAAGGTTTTACAAGCACTTTTTTAATCTCGAGAAGCTGTTTTGGTTCCCTTATTCTAGAGAACAACCAGACAAAAGGGGGAAATTGTCTAATGAAAGGCAAATCTAAACAGCCACATAATGATTCCTGCATGCTGGATCTACTGCTGTCCCAGAAACTGGCAGCTCCAAAGCTGTCATCACTGCCCTTCTGCTAACAAATCTTCTCCAGCAGTGGGATCCCACCATTTTTTTTCCCCATTAACTCAAAGCACAGACAGAGCTGGTGAGCCCTTGCCTTCACCTGACCAGTCTTGCCTTAAAATACTCAGTCCTGAAAAGTTGCTTCTTACATGGTAATCATTACACAGATCCTTACTAAAATTGAGTTTCCCTGGCAGGGAGACAGTTTACAAGATGAGATCCTCACTATATGCACAATCCTGGGAAGTGTCTGGAACAGACAAAGAAAAGCAAGAAAGTGTTTTCCTCTGCTCTATTAAAGATGTTTTGGTATGCAGGTGTTTTACCTTTTAAGTTATGTTATAAAGAGGGGCAACCACCCTATCACAGCTGTACCAAGATTTGGTTTTGTTTTGTGAGATATTTGACTTTTGCAAGAGAGAAAAAATTATCTTTGCTAGGCAGTAATTAATTTTCACTTCCTGTGAAAGTTTTCAAGATTTGACAATGAAACTATTATCTCACATGGGAACTAAAAATTCAATATTAAATGTTCATTAGCCTTTGATCCAAAAAGGAAAATTATACTGAGTAAATCAGAAATATTTTAAATATTTGAAGGTGAAACTTAGTTGTTTAGCAACACAATAATTTAAAGGAAAAAAGATCTTTTAGATGCAATGTTGAGATTTTTTTTTCCCTTTATATAAACCCAGAGATTTTTCAATACCAATCCTTTCCATGGAAAGATTTCACTTTCAATGAATCGGCATTAAAAAAATAAAACACAAACAAAACCAAAACTCTGAACAACTCTTTGCCAAATCTAGATGGAAACTCTCTGCACATTTCATTCTCTTATGTTACATTCATAAGTATTACTATATCAGCTAAAATCACACCTATTACTAATATAATTACAACACTATAAAACATATGTGTGTACCAATATAAAGTATGATAACAGTAGTTAAAAATATGCTGATACATGAGTAATTTGTAATTTGCACTGTGCCTTTAATTTTTAAATATTGATTTCCATTGTGTGCCATAAACTGAATGTGACAATATTTCTTAGAAAGTTAATTATTAATATTTAAATTATAAAAACCTTAACTAATTTTTAGTGCGACATACATGGATGATGAGGTCAATAGAATGATGTGGAAGAGTATGAATTTATGCCAAAGATCATATTTATACAAAGGACATTAAACATCACATTTAAAATGTTAATGGTTTGGCATAAGCTCCTGAGCAACCCCCACTACTAATACTTTATGTATTTGTTCAGTGACTTAATTTCAGTGGTTCCAAATACTTTACCTTTGGCAATATTTTTAAATTTCAGATTTGTCCATATGGGGATATTATGATTGAGTCCAGAGAGAGCCATTTATCATGTTGATCTGGCCTCAAAACAAATATATGTACCTAGAGAAAACAGTGTCATTTCTTGAATTACAGCCCCAATAGGATTTTTGCAGATTGATTTTTCTGAAAGGTCTGTTACAAGTGCTGTGTTATTTCTAAAATGTTTTATACAACAAAACCTACATGTAGCAAAGCATTTTTTCACAACACAAGCATTGGTTTCCAATGTTAGAGACAGATACATTTGGCACCAAGTTATGTCCTTTTTCCTTTGTAAACTCAGATTATATTTGAAATGCCTCTGGCAATATTAGTTGTAGCTTGGCATAGCATAAGACGTTGTCTGCTAAGACATTATTTTTCTTCAGTCATTTTAGAGCTTGCTGAAGACTGAATAAGCAGTTTGTATAGTGAGATTTACTAATATAATATAGAGACAAAATCAGAAAGACCAAAACATAAAATGAGATACAACTAGCAAGTGACATAAAGTCTATGCAGAGAAAGCTTATGGCAAACGGAAAGAGAAGAGAGAGCTAATAATAGTTAATAAAAATATGGTGTTGCTTCATTGAAGCATTAACTGCAATTTGATAGCTAAACATCACTAACGACAAGCATGCTAAGAGGGAATGAAAAGGTTAAAGATTACTCCAGTTTACTGGTCCTGATGAACTTTTCACATCCCTGCTTCAGACACAGTCTGAAATAATCCTGCAATCATTAGGACTGAAGAAGATGTTTCAAAGAATCTATCCTGAGGAAAGAGTGAGGAGGAGTGCTCAAATGGAGGAGGAGGGGATTATGGGCAAGGACACCTTGTCTCTGTTCCTGGACACATACAGAGGATATTAAATAAAATGAGTTAAGGAACAGATAACATGGGATTAGCTATTAACAGCCTTTTAAATAAGACTAATTTAATTCATTTGCAGGAAACCAGACTTTGTGAGTAGAGGAAAGGAATTGGTAGATACAGTAAGAAATCCTGAACTTAATAAAACTTTAGGTGCTATTTCAAATAACATTCTTATAAGCAAATGAGGGAAAATAAAGTAAGGTGCTTGAGTGGTTGGTAAAGGGTTATCAAAGACTAGTGATCAATGGTTTATTAGCCTGAAGGGCTATAACAGGGCAGGATATATTTGCACAGACACAAAATGGAAAATGATGAGGCCATTTTGCACAAAGGAGACAGTCTCTGATGGGTTGTATTGCCATTGCTCGGACAAAGCATTTTCCCAGTATTTTGAAAATTAAAAGTATCAAATGTAAGTCTTAGAAAGGAGTTATCCCATTCTACTTTTTTATATTAAGGCTTTGACTTGAAGACTTTGGGACATCAAGTTTTAGGAAACATTCAGTGCAACTGGAAAGAACGCAGAAAATGAGACCAAATCTCAGGGCTCATCTATGTTTCCTGCTCAGGAGAGTAGCTCTTGACTGCCTCCAAAATAGCGGTCACCTGCAGTGGAGACAGCAAATCTTCAAGGTCTCTGCTACATTTGCCCACACATCCCTCCACAGATGATCAGATGTTGCCCACACCCAGTCTTTAGGCTACCAACCAAGCGATGGTAGGTTATAAACGCAGAGCTCTGTGACAACTGCTATATTGATACAGTGTCAAAGTTCACTCCAGCCAAATTTTGTGTCATTCAATGAGATTATTTTGCATTGTAATAAACACAAAATAGGTTCAGTAAATACTAGCAAAATATTTTCTTTTTCAGTAAAATGTGCATCTCCCTCAGGACTTGCTGGTTTTGCACTACAGTATTTATTCAGACAAGTCTACTGTTGTCATAGCAGTGTAACTCTCTGTGTGGGAGGACACTTGTATTTTATTTTAGGACAATTTAAAGGGATTAAAATAAACCATACAGGTACTTATACTCTAAAATAAAACCATCTACTGGGGTTAATTGGTGAACTAGCACTGCTCTAATAACATTTTCCAGGTGGGGACACCACCAATTGTTCTTTTGAACGTTTAATTGCTGTTGGACATTGCAAATTTGTCTTTCTTCTGCTTGGTCTGAGTGACACAGCAAGGGATGCATAAAAATGCAGAAATATAGGAATTAACGGTGGTCTTATCAGCAGTAATGGCTGCATTTTAAGATTAGCAGTGTGGAAGTGGTTTCTAATTACATGACTGACTTGCTCTGGTTTAGTTTAAAAGAATGTTTTGTTTTGAGGGCCATGAAAGTGCATTGAAAACCATTTAATCTCTTCAAGACTTGCAATTATTTTAAATTATCATCATAGTTGATGGTTGTGGTTTTAAGGAGTGAAACAGTGCATCATGTATCAGATTTTCTTGTGTGCTCAGTCATTTGTAGAAACTCATTTATATAAGACCTGTATCAGCTTGGCCCAGACTATCCTAGACCTCCCTAGATGTTTCTTAGCTTGCAATAATTTGTTTTATTCTTTAACAGCTCTGCAACAGTTATATAGCCCAAGAATATGACATTATGTCCCTTTCCCAAGTTAGCCCTAACACCAAGGGCAAGTAGGAAAGTGAGAACTGTAATATGTCCTGTAATTTCCTCCAGAGAACTTGCAGATTGTTTCAGCAGTGCAAATACACAAAAGAGAATGGGGATACAGTGGACTTGATAACTTCAGCCTACATCTGCATACATTTTCCTGTAAGACTTTTTTGCAAATTGTCATGGCAAAGGAAAATATCAGGAATACTATGTTATTCCCACCTTCACTTTATATTGATATTGCTTTAGAGCCAAAGAGACAGATTTCCATGTATGCATTGCTTCTTTCAGGAAAGGACTGACTTTTTTTCATATCATCTTTAGAAATCTTTTAAGCACTGTCAGCTCAATTCTATTTACCAAAAGTCCAGTTTCAGTAGAAGTATTATACCCAGCTTTTGGTGGAGGAATGCTTTCAGATACTAAAAACATGTGGACAGTTGTCAGTCTGAATTAATAGTTACATGGAACTGTGGTCAATGGCTTCATACAATCATCTGAAAACCAGAAACATCTTTGCAAGATTTAGTAGTTGCAATAACTCCATGCTCCTGTTGAGGAATATTCACCCCTATTCCATTTAAATATCTGAATCCAAACGTTTTTCAGTAAAATCCTATGGTCACTATTAGCCTATTTATCTGACTGACTTGTAACTTATGGCTTGTGGGTTGCTTTAAGGGAGCACTGATTGGGTCCTTTATTTTTAGATAATGTGCTATAGATTATTTTGAAATACACAAAACTTGAAGTAATATTAGAAAATGTATTGTTCATTATGATTGAAGTATTTGCAGAAGAAACTGGTGTTATAATCATGTTTATTTATTTTGAAATTTTGAGATGTGTAAAGGTACATAAAGAAAACATCAAAACCCCATTCTTAGTCCAGTTAGTTATGTTGGGAGAAAAATGCTGAAAACTTAGTCCTCTGTCTGACAGAAGACTATTCTCACATGGACCATGATAGTTGAGCCTGTGCTGAAATCGTATTAAGTTTCTTCTTCCATTTATTTTCTCCCTGTGCAGAACAGGGCCCTAATTAAACTAGTAAAATTACCTATAAAACTTTCTGGTGGAAGAGTGATTTACTTGCATTGCTCTGAGCCTTAATGGTAATGGATTGTTAATGTCAACAGTGTTTTCACTGCCTTTACCTGCTCAGATCAAGGTTACATGACAAGAGGCCACCCAGCACCCCCAGCACAATAGAAAATGTCCTTTAATAATGGCATGAGAGTTTTCCTGGGTAGGAGAGGTCCTAAGTTACTATTGCTCTCAGAAGTGTGATTATGATATGTAATACAGAAACTTTCTAAAGCCATTTCTCAATTTAATCCATACAGTGACACTGAACTGTGTTCTTAAGGGAAAAAAATTCTGACACTTACTTGATGATAACTAGTTCAAATTCAACTCACACTAGTTGGGGACTGAGCTCACCAGTCTTTATAAAGAAATGCCCAAATGAAGGAAGGCTAGTGGGTACCCTTCTGGAGATGGGGTTTAAATTAGGAAAACTCCAGCCATAGATTTCTGGTAATCACCCACTTTGCCACCATGTGTGCATGAATATAGAACAACATTGCTCTGGTGCCACTTTTCATTGTCCCACAACAACAGAAAAACAAGTGTCTGTATATTTAGCATGCATTTCTACATGCAGAGCTATCATTTGGCTTGTGGCAAGGTCATGCTGTCTCTTAGCAGGTGCCACAACTTCCATTTCTTTCTGAAATCTATTGGCATACCATAGGCAACTGTGAAAAATAAAGATTCATACTGTGACCATATGATTCTTGCACAGATTGCAGGGTGAAGCTGTAGGGAGGTTAGAAATGGTAAGGAAGGACTTCTTTCTCACTTGGATAGTCTCCAAATTACTGTTGACCCAGCCCAGAGCATGTCTAGATGAAAAATGAATGTGCAGCAGTCCATGTCCTATTGTCCCCTCCAAAGAATCAGGGATTTATCATGAAAGATAAATTAAAGAGCATTAAATGACCTTCTGTTATGCACACAAATCTAGACCTTTAAAATTTGTAATTCTGTACAGTCCTGTTTACTGTATGTCCTTAGGGATTTTTTTTGTTTTAACAGCATGCAGCTTGACAGAAATACACTACCCAAAAAGGGATTAAGGTATTTTTTTTTTTGAGTATGACTGCTGCTTCTCTGTTTTCCTGTAATCCTTTCTACACTGTCTTTCCTTTTCTTTCTTCTTTTGTTGATCCTGTTACAACAGAGTTCTTGGTATTTAGATTCAAACCACAAAACATAGATTTTAACAGTGGACTTTTTCTTTCAAAGTCTGTCTAGTGAATAAATTTCCTTTCAAGATATACCATGGAAAGTGAATCCTGTTAAGGGTAGTTTCCTTATGCAATGAATCTTAAAAGGCAATGAATCCTGGAGAACTATAAAAAACAGAACAAGATACTCTTGCAATTCAATGGACTAATTGTTGGAAGCGTTATTGAGAAAACAAGGTTTTAGAGGTGGATCTGAACTCTAAATGCAAACACTCATGTAATTTGAATTGAAGATCTAGTAAAGGGCAGGGCTAGAAAATGCTGATTTTCATATCCAAGGTTTCTAAGTACAACATAAGCCATGCTCCAGCTAGTCTTATTGGTCCTTATCCAGCAATACTCAGAGTCCAACTTTGCTACTAATTCCCCACTGATTAGAACTGTCTTCATCACAGAAAACAGAACTCATCCACCCTCTTGATCATTAGGTAACTTGTCTGGTCTCATCAGGCATGGAAACCTATCTCCCTAATCCAGGAAGGAGATTTGGCAAGCAAGGATATATGTGCATACACACAGTCACTCTGCAGCCTCCCAGTCACTGAAATTACACAGTTAAATCTCTTGAGTTATTGATAAATAATATTTTATGAAATTTTAAGATAGTGCTGAAATGTTGTCACTAAAAAGCACCTTCTGCTCTTCTGCACTGGTTGTTCCTTAATAAGAATTTAATAAAATTTCCTGTTATCCCAAAACAATTTTGGATTTGGAGAGAATGGAAAAGGTGGAAGACATGAAAGAGGCATAAATGGGACCCTGCAAGGGTACGATGGAATGATTGAGGTTTGTGGCTGTACAACTGTAATGGTTGCTGTAAGTGAAATGGAGTGAGAAAACAGCTTATGGGCATATAAACCTGATCAGTTATCCCAGAAAGACCATCACTTTGATTTAATGCGCAGAGATCCCAGTCCAAGACCCAGATCCTGAATTCTCATTTTGCCGTCCTTCTGATCTGATAACCACTGGATAACTCAGCTCTACCACATTTACAATCAAAAATCTTAGCTGTCTTTTTGAAAGGAGAAAGGAAGTAAATATTTAATCAGGACAAGATGTTTTAATGCCGTAAAATATTGTACAAAACCCCAAGCACAACATGAGAACTTACATGTTCATTTAATTTGCTTTCTAAGCAGAAATACTTGTGCCTTGCCAGCCTGAAGCCAGAATATCAAAAGCCCTTTCTGTTCTGCTGCTTGGGGACACTTGATGGCTCATGACAGTGGTGAATAAGGTGCTCATTTCTCAGCAGGAGATTGTGCTGAATGAAGCAGGCTATTGCAGACATTGCTGAAAACGGTCTCTTGATTAATACCCACACTACCTGCACATTTTAATGTTTAACCACTGCCAAATTGTCCCTCTTCCAGCCCAGCCAAAAGAAGCTGGGCCACTGAGTTACCAGCTCTCCCTCTTAGTCTGTGAGTCAAGTTGCACTTGTTTCATTAGTTTGCTACAGGAAGCAGTTGATGAATGATTTGATTGTCAGACTTCTTCCTTCCAGAGAATTTGTTTCTGCTAATTGTGGATTTTTCCTGTCCCTTTCCCTCCCCCCAGTTTGGGGCAGGACACAATGCCAAATAGCATTCAGAGCAGCAGACTGCACGTATGATCATGAGTAGCTGTCATTAACGGTGAAAACTCCTTTTTCAGAGTTGTTGATCTGTTTCACTCCTGTCATCTAACCAATTGTCCACATGATCTGTGGCAGATATAATTTTGTAAGCGACTACTTACATTTCTTGGCTTCTAGTCTGTCCATTCCTCATGCTAGCCATACAGCTTCTGTGCTTTTGCATCAACCTGTACACTTGCTATAGCTTTGAAGTCCTTTTCTGTCAGCTCAGTTGTCTGTCTTCTATGGTTTATCATCATATCTCTTCAAAGGAAGGGAATGCTGTCTTGGGGAGGGGGATGAAGAGGAAAGGGGTTTCAAGTCCTGTACTTTTTTTTGTTGTAATGAGATGGTATAATTTACCTTGTTAAAATCCCTGGTGATAATCACTTGATTAGACGATGCTTTCCAAGGGTTTTGTTCTATTTAACTTGTGAAGGGTATTTATGTGACACCTGTTTCTTTCTAAACTGTCACCTTGTCATTGTTTTGAGCGTGTCAGCTGTGGTTTTTCAGGTATACTCCATCATCCCGGCAGACGAGTCAGGAGGAAGGCAAGGAATGGCTACGCTCCCATTCAACTGGAGGCCTGCAAGACACTGGCAGTCAGTCCCCGCTTGTTTCTCCTTCAGCTATGTCTTCATCTGCAACTGGAAAATATCACTTTTCCAACCTGGGTAAATGCTGTTTCCCTTCACTGTTTCTCCCACTCTAGAATAGAATCATAAAATTCAACCATTCATATTTCTTTATCAGACTAGATAGTGTATTTTAACGTCTCCATCACCGGTTTGTGGTACCTCACTAATGAAGAGAAACTCAGAGCGGTTTTTATGGATTAGGCCAGGGTACTTCCTGTTTTGCATATAGAAGAAAAAACACAGATTCTCTATGACTTGCCCAGGGAGAAGAAAATCTGAGGCAGAGGTGGAAATTAGCTTCTAGTTCAAAGCTACTCATCTTTTAGGATTCACAGTCTGTAGGATTCTTTCCAGTGATTTTAGTGAATCTCAACCCAGACACTAAACACTGCTTTTTCCCTGTATACAGGTTTGCTTTGAGACTGGCCTTTCCAATGCATTTCAGTGGCTGGACCCGACTATAACTGCACTGGGCCCAATCCAAATCCTAACTTCAATGCAATATAATATTTTGGGATGTGAGTCACATTTTAGATTTATTTGATTACAGGTCAAGATTTAGATTTGGTTCTTCTGGATCTTGTTTCAGGTTAATCCCACACAACTTTAATTTTGTTAATACATTTTTTTTCTTTAATGCTTAATAGAAAACCATTTATTTGAACACCTAGGTTCACAGTGAGCTTTTGTGTTTTAGGCCCTTACTGAGGAATTAACAGCAAACTTTGAAGCATTCACACTTCTGTCACTCTGTCACAGCTTGTGGCATCTGTAGGTTACAATCACTCAAAATAAATTTGATCAGACATACAAATGTTAGTCTTTATTACATATGGGGAAAGAAGTTGAACAAAGCAACTTTTAAAAATGAAATTGGATCCTGTCAAAGCAAGCCACTGCTTTGGATTTCCTCCATGGACTTGCATTAGTTTTAGACACAGCTCTTCTTAAGCAGTGTTTCCTTCACTCTATCATTTTCTGCTTATAATTATCTTCTTTTTCTTTTTGTTTATAGTTCTTGTACTCACAACAGGGAGCAATAAGATCAGGGAGTTTTAAAATTTATTTTGTCACTGTTCTTTGCTTCTTTTCATTGTCATAGCCCTATGGAATAATTTGCTCTCACAAAACAGCTGCTCTGGTAGTTTATGATTTAAGGCACGTCTTGTATGATCTAAAATAAAAGTCCAAACACTGAGGCTGAATTTGAATAGGCAATTAGCTTTTTATTCTAGACATTGAGTTCATGTGATCCAGGTGAGCCATAACCATGCTTTTCTTCCTGCTGGCAAGCAAACTTTGCAAAAGCTTCAGGTAGGTTCATCAACGATGTTCTGGTTTTCAACCATGAGTGGTCGGATTTATTGTGATGAGATTCAACTGGCCTGTGAAGAAATTTTGTCCTAATATTGTGGTAGGGTCTGTAGAAGATCAAAGCATAAATCCATCTTGCATTATGCCAATAAACTTTGGTCTTCACAGCAGTTGGTAATATAGGTATATAACAATAAAACAGAGATATTGATTTATTAGAAAAGAAGCTTATAAAAAATACTTATGGCTTCTTACTCCTTTTTAACTTTTTACCTTTTGAATCTCTCCCATTGATTTTCTGTCTTGGGCTGTCAAACAAGTGTATATTCAAAACTAGTGTTAGTGTTACTATGTGTTTTACAGGATTACTCTCATCCAGGTCCTTGAAGATCATCTGTTACACCTTTTTGTATGTAGGAATAGAAGCTTTTCATTTTCTCAGCAGCATATAGTCCACCTAGCCATGGTAGTCCTATATTAAAATTTTGTGCAGAACCAAAATTCATTTAATGTGCTTCATTAATAAAGTTTTGTATTCCAGTGAGTCCAACCAACCTATCTCAGTTTAACCTTCCTGGACCCAGTATGATGCGTTCAAACAGCATCCCTGCACAAGACACTTCTTTTGATCTGTATGATGATTCCCAACTGTGTGGCAGTGCTACGTCCTTGGAAGAGAGACCACGAGCGATTAGTCATTCAGGTTCATTCAGGGACAGCATGGAAGAAGGTAAGATGGAGTTGGAGTGGATAGGCCCCAAAATAGGCCTCCAAAGTGTAGTAAAATTTTAAAATATTTCTTCTGCAACATAAAAACTTAAATAATTTTCTGAAACTTTTTTTAAAATTTTGTTGAGCTGAACTTCCTTACCCTAAGACATGACAGATATTTCTTTCATACAGTAATATGCCACGCTGTGTATGTCATACATGTATAAATCCTTTATCAGAAATTTTGAAGGAAAGGAAGCCATTTCTGGAAAATTGTTTTATTCTTTTTGCCTCTAAAGCTGAAGTGTCTGGGCATACCTTAACTACTGTGATTCCATGCATTCTTAGTCCTACTTCTGTATTTCCTTTTTTTTTTACAAATGCCAGTGCTACTTAGCATCCCTTTTCTTTCATAGTCATCTCATTTATCCACTTCCCTACAGCCTCTTACACTATGAGAATGTGAATTTTTGTATTTAAAGTCTGTCATTTAATCTGACCTCCTTACTTTCTTTATGCAGATTATTACTGTTGGTCTAGTTTCTTTAATGCTATATACAACCCCTGGAATTTGGGGAATATTTTTTGGTTTATTTTTTTGTTCTTTTTAACCAGAGTATTTGACAACTCCTAATGAAATGCACTGTAACATCTTCTGCCTAAACGTTCTGGTAAATCTGATTATTTGCAGAATTCCCATAAGCACAAACTCCTCACACCCCGTAATTAAAAACAAAACCAAAAAACAACAAAACAACCAACCACAACAACAACAACAACAAAAACACAAGAAAAACCCCACTAACATTTAATGGAGATTCATTTTATAGCGTCGTTTCATCAATCATGCTTACTGCTAGGTGGTGACAATATAAATGGTCTTTAGAACAAGCAAATAAAAAAGTCTAACACTAGCTCCAGAGCTCCTAATTATGAGATAAAAGGGGTAAAATAGTGCTAGATGAAATAACAGAAAACTAAATACTTTTACTTTACAATTCCTTCTGTATTTTAGATTATATGTCAGGCAGATATCTGTGTATGTAATACTAGCAGTAGGGTGCAGGACAGATCAAGCTGTGAGTTGTCAGCCCAGAGAGGATGGCTGACTGCACAGAAGCATATCACATAATTCAGTGACAGAGATGACTACAGATGCTTTGCTGAGGAACGGGAGAATATGAAAGGAAGCACTGTAAGAATAATAGAGGAAACAGAGCAAAGAATTTATGCAGAGAAAAAGACGTGTTAAATCTAGAATTTCAGTAATGGGTCACCAGTGGCTTTGATGAAACCTTTTACATTGGTCATGTTTCATATCCAGCTGAAGTGGATAACCATGTTCAACCTGAGTAAACAAAAGTCAATGCAGCAACAATAAACAGTTTTCAGCAGTTTGTGGTCATTAGAGATTAACATGACATGATGCTGTTGAAAGGCCAAATGTATTTTATTTAAGGTAGGAGCTCTGAGGCAGGTTATAGTGAAAGAAGTGAGGTAATGGGTAGAGCCACTGTGTATGAGAGCAGAATGGGAGTTTAGCTGAGAGATCTAAAGCAGAGACTGAAAACCAAAGATAGGTTGAAATCAACAGGGTTTCAATGAGCAGTGTAGCTCATCTTTGTAAATTTTTGGCCAGTTACGAAACCAGATTTAAAATCTATTTGGCTTATCCAAGTATTCTTGTATTGTCAGTTTGGCATATGGAGGCCAGGTGGCTATTAAAGCAATATAATTTATTTACTGAATCCTGGCAGATTCTAAATATTAAAAAAAAAATCATTTGAAAAAAAAATGAAAAGAAGTAATGAAATATATTGTCTTCTTTAAAATTCTCTATTGGTGCCTCCTTCTTCAAGAGAGTCATCAGAAGCAGAAGGGGCAATTTTGTTCCCATTTAGTCTTCAGTTGCCATTTTCAGGAGACCAGGAACCCCATTTTTTGAGTTGAAGTCCTGCAACACACACTCAGTGCTCTTGAGACCAACTCTAGTGACGATTAGTGGAAATACGGCACTATGTCTTGCAGTGACCCCTTCACACAGACTACAAATACATGGGTCTGAATCATGCTGAGGGGAGAAACCAGCTGAGCAAAGCCTGGGAGCTCACCACTGGGAATGTGAACTGTTTTGCAAAGCATAGTCTCCTATTAAAATCAGTTTGCTCAGCTTTGAACAGGTGTATAAACAGCTCAATTTCTGGTTTCTCTAAAGAGTGTATTTATCAGGTGTTTTGTTGTCAAAACAATAAAAGTGATGCTTGGTTTGCTGCTAATAGTACTGAATCTCACTGGCTCGCTCTCCTACCTCATACAGAGGAAAGTGCTTTTGCTGTATAGAAAAATCTTTTTAAGTGCATGAAAAAATATCAATAGCTTTTCTATACTGATAGTTCATAATTACTCTTTGTGGAAGATTGGCTGTCATTTTAAAAAGATGTTTAGTTATTGAGCTAGATGGCGGAAGTTTTATGCTTTCATCAATATTTCATGTTATTTTCCTTTTTTTGAAGTACATGGGTCCTCATTATCACTTGTCTCCAGCACATCCTCTCTCTACTCTACGGTGAGTATTGACATTTTAGAAAAAAGTTCTGCCTGTCTCTATTCTTGTTCATTTGTCATGAAAATTTCAATACTTTGATGTTTAGAATGATTGAAATTGTCCTGCAATAAAGCAGGAACATTTATTTTCAACTTTGGTATTACTATCATGCTATTTTAAAATGCATTATTTTCATCATTTTATGTGACTCGTTTAGAATGGCTTAAAATTACCTAGTGTATATTCTGAAAGGTAAAAAGACGGTAATGGTCTAGGAGTCTTTCTTTAAGGGACTCCTTGTGCTATTGCAGTTGATAATTTTGAGTGATTTTGATTATTTTCAGCTGGTTTTGTAATTGCACAATTTACAAAGTGGTTTTGTCCTGTGACTGTTTGAGGTTACACTTCTTGAAAAACTTCAGGTTAAGGGAAATAATAGATACAATTTGCAGTTTAAATGTCCACTGATCATTGTTGCAAATGTCAGCATTTAGATGTTATTTCCAAAGAGAAGAGTCTTAAAAAAATTATTAATCTCAGTTAATTAGAGTAATTAGATTGAGTAATACTTGTATTCTAGCTCAAGCAGAAGATCTGGTTTTGATTTTTTTTCCCCTCTATTTTCTTGTTTTGGTGTCTTTTTTGAGATCTTCCTCATAATTTGTTGATTCATTTGTTCTAACTAGCAAGAAATCATGCATATGGGAGGAGTTAAACATGTTTGGACATTCCCTTCATGATATGCCACCGTTGCTTTACAACCTATTTGCTAACTACAATTACATGCTGTAGTAGCTCTTTTCCACGGGACAGCAATCCACTTATCTGCTTTCATATCATGCATTCATGAATAGTCTGTCTCCTCTCCATATTTTCAGGTGTTGAATAGAGTCAGCTGATGTCCCAGGAATGACATGGACTCCTCTACCCAGAGCCAACACCAGTTATTGCCTGGGAATACTGAGCCCATGCAGTCTGATGCATTTGTACCATCTGGTAGCCCTATCTCAATGCTAAACTCATCTTAGCTTGGAAAGTAGATGGTATCCATGCACAACATCTACCACAACAGTGCTTCTCCTAGTTCTGTTTAATCATAAAAAGGTCTATACAAGGGCATGTCTAAAATATTAGGTACACACTCATTAGGTTTGTTCAGGGCTTAAGCAGCAAGTTGCAAGCAATTCCAGACCAGCCCAGACCTGAATTATTTTTTGGGAGGTAGAATGTACATAGAGACTGGCTGCACATGAGGTATGACTAGCATTCAAAACAAAGCTTCTCAGTTGCATTTTGGTAGCCAAAAATTCTTTACTACTATTTCCATGTCTATGAGACACTATGATCGGTTTGCGGGGGGGTGGGG